AAGGAGATACCAAAAGGCGTGGATTTTTAAAGAAAATATTTAAGGAGATACCAAAAGGTGTGGATTTTTTAAAGAAAATATTTAAGGAGATACCAAAAGGCGTGGATTTTTTAAAGAAAATATTTAAGGAGATACCAAAAGGCGTGGATTTTTTAAAGAAAATATTTAAGGAGATACCAAAAGGCGTGGATTTTTTAAAGAAAATATTTAAGGAGATACCAAAAGGCGTGGATTTTTTAAAGAAAATATTTTCGGACTATAAGGCGTGGATGGGTGGCGTTGAGGATGATAGATACCAAGCAACGGCTCTGATTGGCTTTAACATGGTGAAGTCCAGGATTATCTTGGTCCATTTTTCATCTCAATTGTGGACACTGACCTCCCCGTGATGCCACCTGCGATGAAATAGTGAGCTAATAACTGCCGCGAGTTCACCCATAAGAACTATAAAAAAATGGGCTGAAGCGTCGGGTTAGTTTCCCACACTCGGAAAACCGAACCTACTATGAAAAAGCAAAGAAAGAGAAAACCAAACGCACCTAATGTTGACGACCCCCCTCAAACGTATAAAGGTTCACGATCTGCGAATCTGCACTTGGAATGTGCGCACGTTGTACAGAACAGGCGTAGTATTCGCTTTGGCGGATGTACTCAAGAAGTACAATGCCGATATTATTGCCTTACAGGAAATGCGATGGAAAGGGACTGGCGTAAGTAAATCAGATGATTACGCCCTATATAATAGCTGCCATGAAACGAGGCATGATTTTGGCTGCGGATTTATGGTTAACAGGAAAATAAAAGACCTCGTCTCCAGATTCACTCCAGTAGATGAGCGAATTGCTATAATCCCTATAAAAATGAAATTCTTCTACATCAGTCTCATTTGCGTCCATGCTCCGACCGAAGATAAAGATGAACAGACCAAGACATATTTTACGAGCGCATAGAAACAGCATATGATCGCTGCCCTGGCCATGACATTAGAATTCTGTTAGAAGATATTAATGCAAAAATCGGAAGGGAAAATATTTATGGCCCCACCGTTGGAAACATCAGACAACGGCATGAGGTTGATTGGCTTCGCGGCAGCAAACAACGTGGTAGTTAGCAGCACCAGATTTAAGCATCTCGATATACACAAGGCCACTTCCGATCGAACAACGAGAAATCAAATCGGTCATGTTATAATAGACGGAAAGCATTCATCCAGTGTTTTAGACGTCCGATCGATCCGGGGAGCGAATATCGATTCGGACCATTACCTTGTGGCAGCCAAGGTACACACCCGTCTTAATGTAGCAGCAAAGGTGCGATCTAATATAACACGGACATTTGACGTCAAAAAGCTGCAAACACAACAGATAGCAGAAGCCTACTCCGCTCAACTTACCCAACTGCTTGACGAAAGCACCCCTTGTCCCGATAATAATATAGAAGCACAGTGGCAGAGAGTTGCCACTACCAACAAACTGCAGCAAAAGCAACACTTGGGTAACAAAGACCACCATCAAGAAATCCGTGGTACGATCAGGAGTATCGTAATGCTACTGATATGAAAAACGCAGCGTATAGGCCAACCCTGCGGACAGTAGCAACACGTAATACGATGGAGAACTATCGGGAGAAAAGGAGAGAGGAGAAACGTATTTTCAGAAAAAAGAAGAAAGAACAAGAAAAACGTGAGCGTGAGCAAATCGAGATGTACAGTAGTCAGAATGAAGTCCGAAAATTCTACAACGGGTAAAACACCAAACCGAAGGCTTTGGTGCAGGCACATCCTCCTGTAGAGATAAAGAAGGAAACCTGGTGATAGATACAGACGACGTGCTGAGGATCTGGAAAAACTTCTGGTATCAAATAGTAGCAGTGAAGTGGATACCCCAGAACCAATAATAGATGACGGTATAGAGTGTATACCACCTAGCCAAGATGAAGTCAGAATATCAATCAATCGGCTTCAGAATAAAAAAGGAGCAGGTACCGATGGGTTACAAGCCGAACTATTCAAGACTGGACGCGCAATACGTCCAGTAGACTCGGACCAACTGTGGAACTTGAGAACTACAACTTCGAGATAGTCAAAGATTGTATATACCTTGGTACCGCCATAAACAAAACGAATGACATCACTTTTGAAATTCGGAGAAGGATAGTGATGACTAACAGATGCTACTATGGTCTGAGCAAACAACTCAAAAGCAAGGCCACCTCCCGCCAGACCAAACTCACACTCTACAAGACGCTGGCAGATGAGGCAGCTCTTGGAGTGTTTGAGAGAAAAATTCTCCGAAAGATCTATGGGCCAATCTGCGTTGACGGTGAATATCGCCGCCGAATGAACCATGTTGTACCAGCTATTCTCGGACATCGACATCGTTAGAAGTATTGAGCTGCAGCGACTACGTTGGCTAGGTCATGTTGTGAGAATGGGTGAAGATGCCCCAGCCCAGAAGGCTAATAAAAGCTAACCAGCTGATGTTTCACGCAGAAAGCCTCGAATAAGATGGAAAGATCAAATGGAAGACAATATCTTGGAATGTGGTCTTTCAAATTGGAAAAACTGCGCAAAAGACTGACGCGCCTGGAAATATTTTTTAAGCTCGGCTTAAGGAACGAAAGTTTTGTCACAAAGTAAGCTAAGCTAAGTAAGCTAAGCTAAGTAAGTAAGTGTTCGGGAATACTATTAGGTGTGGATTTTTTAAATAAAATATTAAGGAGACACTATTAGGTGCGGATTTAAAAAAAAATATTTAAGAAGGCACTAAAAGGCACTATTTTAACTAAAATATTTTGTAACGGATAATCAAACACTCTCTAATTTAATTCTCTTTTTTTTTGTTTTCTAAATATGAGCTCTTTCTGATTATGTTCCGCTCTCATCCCTTTAACAGCAAAAATCCGTTGCTAAGGTAAACAAATAAACATTTTTCGAATCACAAAAAAAAAACAGACAGTAGAAAATTAGCAGCCATCCATTCTGCCATCTACCACGACATTGATTTAATAAATTTTTCACACGAAGTACAAAGGCTCTAAGGTTCGAATATTTATTGGTTTTCCTGTTATTTGCCAGTTATCAAAAAAACGACCATCATAAAAATTAGGAAAACAAAAATAGAAACGGGAAAAAGGAAGACAAACAAACAACTCAACCTCTAGAAACAAACGAAAAACAACTTCGCACCTGAACTAATAATGAGTTCCACACCAAAATGGTATTGTCGCAACAAATCGCAACCGATGCATACCTTTGCGGAACTTTCCAAATTGGGCAATGACCTTAGAAGGATTACAAAACGTTTGGTTATCGATGTCAAGGTGGACATTTATAGTGAACATGTAAAAGGAAGCAGTGAGTGGGAAAAGGATTTGTAGTTAAAAAGAGTTTTTTTTCGTAGGACACCCTACTGGAGGAATGCGAACGTATTGTGGAATTATATTGGAGTTTAAAGGATCAATCGAACAATAAGGATTTCCAATCGCTGTCCAAGAAAATTAAACGCAGCCCTTACAATGCCTTACTGATGCAAAAATTCAATATAATTATGGAGCTAAATGATCGAAGATTTTGCCAGCTAACATTTGTCCTTAAGAAGACGGTAAGTAAAAAGGAGGGGAAAGAAAGGTTAATGTGATGTAATATATATATATATATATATATATATAGGAACTCCTTTTAGTACGTCTCTTGAGACTTCTTTCAATTCGTCTATAGAGACTCCTTCGATGTCGTCTAGTCAGTCTATAAGTGCTCTCTGTGTCTGATTGTCTATAAAGGCTCCCAGCTTTCCAACTGGTCTATAAATGGGCCCTGCACATTAAAATTTCCAGAAGGACTCCCATTGCCTTCACTTGAAAATGAAAGACTCTATTCCCTTTAATTTCATATCGTCTCTAAAAAACCCCCTCTCTTTTATAGTTTCTTCGAAAACATTTTATTAAAAAATCCACGAGAGACTCTTCGAAAATAGTCTCTCTGAAATATTTTATTTTAAAAATCCACACCTAAAAATATTCATTAAAATCCTATGGTTTTTTCCATTCTAGGTAAATTATCTCTTGAAAAAGTCTCTTCATTCCGAAGTCTGGATGAATTGGGCCCTACAAATAACACAACTCTACAATAAATGTCGAAAACCTCTAACGGTTGATGGGGAAAATACTGTGGAATCCAAGAAACCAGAAGACGAACAACTTAATGCCAATATCTGCAGCAATTTGTATCCGGCCCTGCTTCTGCCCTATAAGTCCATAGATTTTGCACATGTTTTGCAGGTAAGCCCCATCCCTTTCAAAAACCCTTTTTGAGATTTGTATCATTGAAAAAATTTTCGATTTTTTTTAGTTAGCCTCCCAGCAGCGTATTGAACAAAATTCTTTGGATCTAATGTTCGGTCTCTTCAATATGGGCGAACAGGAGGCATGGCGTGATACGACCAATGAATCGAATTGTTCCAGCATCGAAATATTACGAATTTTAACTTTAAACCTGACGGGAGATGGAGAATTTCAACAGTATTTGAATGAAAACAATCATGATTATGCTGCCCTGGCAATGAATCCGGAAATAGTGCGTGTGAACAGTGCCTCTCAGCGGGGTACAGCGGTGACACTGCGTAGTAAACATATTGACTTTTTTCTTCAGAATGAAAGGAGTTTTGTGGCTCAATTGATTGAGAAGGCATTCGATATTTGTCCGACAATATTTGGTAAGATTTTTTTAAGACTTTCAGGGTGGATTTTCAATGAGTTCCAAGGACAATCTAAGCTCTAGGCGTGGATTAAAAAAAAAAATATTTTCTCAAGGTCCAACGAAGGCGTGGATTTTTTAAATAATGGTTTTTCAAGGGCCAAATAAGTCGTGGATTATGCAAAGAATATTTTTTCCAGGTCCAAATAAGGCGTAGATTTATTAAATATTATTTTTTTCCAGGTCCAAATAAGGCGTGGATTTTTTATTAAAAAATATTTTTCATAGACCAACCAAAGCGTGGATTTTTTAAAGAATAGTGTTTCAAGGACCCACTAAGGCGAGGATGCCCAATGAGGCATGGATTTTGTTTTTAAGAATATTTTTTCGAGGATCAAATAAGACTTGGATTTTTTAAAGAATATTTTTTCAAGGACCAATCCAAGGCGTGGATTTGTTAAAGAATAGTTTTTCAAGAACCCAATAAAGCGCGGATTTTTTAAAGATTTTTTTTTGTCGAGGACCAAATAAGGCGTGGATTTTTTAAAGAATATTTTTTGTCGAGGACCAAATAAGGCGTGGATTTTTTAAAGAATATTTTTTGTCGAGGACCAAATAAGGCGTGGATTTTTTAAAGAATATTTTTTGTCGAGGACCAAATAAGGCGTGGATTTTTTAAAGAATATTTTTTGTCGAGGACCAAATAAGGCGTGGATTTTTTAAAGAATATTTTTTGTCGAGGACCAAATAAGGCGTGGATTTTTTAAAGAATATTTTTTGTCGAGGACCAAATAAGGCGTGGATTTTTTAAAGAATATTTTTTGTCGAGGACCAAATAAGGCGTGGATTTTTTAAAGAATATTTTTTGTCGAGGACCAAATAAGGCGTGGATTTTTTAAAGAATATTTTTTGTCGAGGACCAAATAAGGCGTGGATTTTTTAAAGAATATTTTTTGTCGAGGACCAAATAAGGCGTGGATTTTTTAAAGAATATTTTTTGTCGAGGACCAAATAAGGCGTGGATTTTTTAAAGAATATTTTTTGTCGAGGACCAAATAAGGCGTGGATTTTTTAAAGAATATTTTTTGTCGAGGACCAAATAAGGCGTGGATTTTTTAAAGAATATTTTTTGTCGAGGACCAAATAAGGCGTGGATTTTTTAAAGAATATTTTTTGTCGAGGACCAAATAAGGCGTGGATTTTTTAAAGAATATTTTTTGTCGAGGACCAAATAAGGCCTTGAGGAGGTTTTTCAAAGACCCTATAAGGCCTTGAGGATGTTTTTCAAAGACCCAATAAGGCCTTGAGGAGGGGTTTCAAAGAATAGTTTTTCAAAGACCCAATAACGCCTTGAGGAGGTTTATCAAAGATCCAATAAGGCCTTGAGGAGGTTTTTCAAAGACCCAATAAGGCCTTGAGTAGGGGTTTCAAAGAATAGTTTTTCAAAGACCCAATAAGGTCTTGAGAAGGTTTTTCTAAATAGGGATTTTTTTTAAGAATATCTTGAGAAGTTTTTTTCTAAAGATGGAAATGTTTTAAAAAATATCTTGAGGAGATTTTTCTAAGGAAGGAATTTTTTAAAGAATATCTTCATAAGGTATTTTTTGGTTAATTTTCAATGTGTCTCATGTTTTCAGGCCACTGCAATCACGATGATCTACATGAATACGTTTTACGAGGTATGCGTCTAATGTGGTCTTATGTGGGTATAATACTCGATCACATTATCCTCTGGTGGATAGATACACCGATATCATGCTATTCTCTATCACATGTGGACTCTATACGCAATTGGTTATATCTGCATAATGTTAGAGGTATGATCAAGACCCCATCTTTTCCCCAACAATATATAATATCCCTTCGAATTTTTAGATATTCCCGAACCTGTCTATTCGACGCTGCAAGGTATCGGGGAGATTCTGACAAATTTTGTTAGCAACAATTTGTGGGATCGTCTGTTTCGTTTGACCCTAATATCGGCCACGGCTCAAACGGGCACCGTCGAACAATTTCTGGAGCAGTATAAACAATCACCGAAAAATGTAAGTCCACCCCGAAACCTTGGATGTCAAAAAATAAATTTTTGAAATTTCTCTTTTTTCACCCGCACAGCAATTTGGCACACCCACTGGAACCGTTTGGATTGCCATCTTTACAAATCTAATAAATCTAAGCAATAATTATTTTCAAAATTCCGATTTTACGAATTCCAGTTTGCTACCAGTTTCCGAACAAATTCCCATACTTCATAGAATTGGTAATGCTCGGAGTCTGAGTTCTTGAATTTGTATTAAAATGCCTTTTGTTTCTTTGCAGATCATTCGGTCCACAGTATGCGCCTCTGGGTCAAAGAAGAATGCAAAAAGTTATGCAACGAATGGAAAATGGATCGTTTCTTTCAGATATTGGAAAATGATGTGCGCCTGTGTCTGCAAGCTTTTACAAATTTTAAACTGCCAAAATTAACTGCCGATCTGACAGATATCCTGATGTTGGTCTGTGTCGCTTTGCGTACGAAATTGATATGCGAGATAAATGTTAATATTGATAAATTGAAGGTAAGTTAGTATGGCCTATATATAGGAATTTGGAAAACTGGGCTAGGGAACCATAACTTATGTAAAACTGACTCGTAACCTTGTATGAGAACGTGGTAATATATTGTCAATTTCCCGAAAATAAGTTTTTTCACCAAGAATCCGGAATGCCAAATTACAGCCATGTCGGGCCGAAAACTAAAAAACTCTGGGTGGGTCCTTCTTTTTATGGGGTCTATGTCAAGAAATTTACGTACATACCTCGAAAATCTCCAACAAACATGCATTCACAATATGCAGGTCCTCGTTGCCATTTTTTGAGCACCACTGGTATAAATGCACCTCTGTAAAACGGACTGATTTGTATCTCGTTCTCTCTCTCCCAATTTCTTTCAGAAAACCACCGATGAATGTGTTCAAGTCCTCTCCGATGTCTGTCGCCTACTAAGTTTGGCGAATTTTACCCTCTGCTTCCCTTCGGGTTCATATTGGCAACGGAATTCGTATGACAACGAGAAATCCAGTGAATATGTTGGTTATGTTCTCGATCAAATAATGTTGCCCTGCATTAAGGCTACCAAAGATGTTGTAATTTTAAAATTAATATTAAAAATTATATGCGAAGCATGGTTAGATTACATTTATCAGAGGCATATACGATTTAGTGTTAATGGGGCGGTGCGTCTCCTCAACGATTTCGATGATGTTCGAGAATGGATTCTGAGTTGTTCGCTGTTGGATCAACTGCATTTGGAAAAGCTCAGCAATCATGAAGTGTTGCGCATGTGTAAGGGTGTGGGTAAAATTCTGTTGCGCAAACCGGAGGATATTATTGCCATATCACAATCGCCAACGTTCGATAAGAAAACCTGTAAACCAAAAAATCTAATATTTGTTGAGGGAATTATAGTAATTATATTTTTCCTCTTTTTCCAGCTGCTGGTGATGGTGATCCTGCACCCCAGGAAACTCAATTACCCTCGGAAATGTTCGTCTCCAATCAGAAACATTGGCTTCAATTGCGTGCCAATAAATCGACATTTTTCTTTTTCCCTCTTTGCTGTGGAGATACCAGTGTTTAAAATGGCATTTATCTTAGATAGAACTTTTTTAGTTATATTTATATAATTTTTTTGGAGGATGTACAATTAAGCCGCATCGGTTTTTTTGTAGTTGTATATCTTGCTATATTTTGCAAAATCAAACGAAGCTTTAATAAAAATCTATGAGATATTAAAATTAGAAACTGGCCCACTACATTTATTTTGGAAGGGTATACTCCTATTCTAAAAAAATAAATCTTCTTTAGGTCGTGTCTCCCGGGCAAACAGAGAAATACATACATATACAGGGTGAGATAAAAAAATGCTACAAAGTCAAACGCCACAATTTTTACATTTTTTTATTATTATTGAATGAATGCAAATAGAATCAAATTTTAGAATAAGTTTAGATTTGGTCACCTTTGGCACGAATTGGTCACCTTTGGCACGAATTATGGCCTTCAAGCGGCCAATGAAACCGTCACACACTGCCCGAATGTTGCTCTGCGGTATTTTGGCCCATTCCCGGCGAAGCGCTTGCTTGAGGTAATCGACACTTCGGTATTTTTAGTGTCAACCATGCTTTCCAAAATACTCCAGACACAATAGTCCAACGGATTGGTATCGGGAGATTTTTATGGCCATTTGAAATGAAGCGAAGAACTTCATTTTGTAACCTTTCTTTTGTAACCATTCCTGTTGGAATGTCCAAGGTATGCGGCCAAAATGTTCCGTGCCCAAGGCTTTAGTACACCCTCCAGAATATTTTCGCGATAATATTCGGCATTTATTCTGACGCCACGGTTGATTAACACGAGCGGAGAGCGACCATCGGCTGTTATGGCGGCCCACACCGTCACCATGGCCGGCGATTGATATCTGATGGCCAACCAAAGGTGCACCTTTTTAACTGACCACTTTGGCAAGTAAACACGATCATTTGGTTTGTTGACAAACTGCTGGACAAGGAATGTTTTCTCATCGGAGAAAACCAAATTCGGCAGTTCACCACTTTCGGCCAAGCGAAGCAACTCTTTAGCTCTTTTGAGTCTATTTTCTTTCTATTGCGATGTAAGTTTTGGCACTTGTTGGAATTTCAATGGCTTTACCCGAGCTCATTTTTATACCCTTCACCACACTGTGGTACAGGGTATTATGTCTTTGTGCATATGTTTGTAACAGGCAAAAATAATCGAGATAGACCCAAGGTTCCTTTTGAGAATATGCATAGAATCACTTTCTGAGTCGATTTATGCATGTCCGTCCGTCCGTCTGTCCGTGTGTAGATGTTAAATTGTAAACAAAGTACAGGCCGCATTTGTGGTCCGAATTGGATGAAATTTGGCACAGCTCATTTGTTTGGCCCAAGGACGAACCCTATTGAAATTGGGAAAAATCGGTTCAGATTTAGATATAGCTCCCATATATATTTTCGTCCGATTTAATGTAAACGGTCCCCATATATCTTTCGATTTGCACGAAAATTGGCACAGCGTAATGAATTAGCTCTAGAATTTCATAAAAATCGGTTCAGATTTAGATATAGCTCCCATATATATCTTCGTCCGATTTAAGGTAAATTGTGTACCAAAGCCCATATATATCTTTCGATTTGCACGAAATTTGGCACAGCATAATGAATAAAGTATAGAATGATGTATGCCAAGTTTCGTGAAAATCGTTTCAGATTTAGATATAGCTCCCATATATATCTTCGTCCGATTTAAGGTAAATTGTGTACCAAAGTCCCTATATATCTTTCGATTTGCACGAAATTCAGCACAGCGTAATGAATAAGGTCTAGAATGATGTATGCCAAGTTTCGTGAAAATCGTTTCAGATTTAGATATAGCTCCCATATATATCTTCGTCCGATTTAAGGTAAATTGTGTACCAAAGTCCCTATATATTTTTCGATTTGCACGAAATTTAGCACAGCGTAATGAATAAGGTCTAGAATAATGTATGCCAAGTTTCGTGGCAATCGGTACAAATTTAGATTTAGCTCCCATATATAGCTTCGCCCGATTTTAGGTAAATAGTCCACTAAAGTCCCTGGAAATCTTTTGGTATAGCGTTCTGAATTAAGTCTAGAATGATGTGTGCAAAGTTTCGTGACAATCGGTTCAGATTTAGATATAGCTCCCATACATATTTTCATCCGATTGAAGGTAATTGGTGTACCAAAGACCCTATATATCTTTCGATTTGCACGAAATTGGGCATAGCGTACTGGCATTTGGGTCTATAATAATTTGTGCTAAGTTTCATGAAAATCGGTTCAGATTTAGATATAGCTCCCATATATATTTTCGTCCGATTTTATGTAATTGGTGCTCCAAAGTCCCTATATATCTTTCGATTTGCACGAATTTTGGTATAGGGTACGTTGGTCAGCTAAGTACTTCGCTTTGTTACAAGAGACATTTGGGTTTGAAAGGTTTTTTGTATAGAAGCAATAGCTTCTGGGGAAAATATCCCAACAAAAAACTAAGGAAACTGATGAGGATCAGCGGCGTGATCCGAAACTATAGTCTTCCCTGCCTTTGCCCTCGGCAATCAATGCCATACATTCTCCACTAATAAATAGTTGTTTTTTATAAAAACAAAATACAAATGGTATCCGAAATAAACCGCCAACACTACTGAAGTACTGAATTAAGTCTAAAATGATGTTGCTAAGCGGCGTGAAAAGATCCATAGCAAGGCCGAATGACACAACGTACTGAAGGAATATAAATTAGTCTCTGGCAATTTTCCCTGAAATCGGTTCAGATATAGATATATAACAAAAACGCGTCGTTTGTTGGGATACATATGTAGAATATACCCAAAGTGGTGAAGGGTATCATATAATCGGCCCAGCCCGACTTTACTACTTTCCTTACTGGTTTAATAATTGACGAATGGAATATTTCGATATGTTCAGCTCACGAGCCATCGGCCACTGCGTCGTGGGTTTCGATCAAGTCGCTTCTTTACCTTTCGAACCATTTATGCTGATGTTACTGTTTTCTTCTGTCCACTTACTCAAGTTTCGTTTGACACGGTTTTCTGTCAAATTGGTTGTAATTTGGTATTTGCATACTTATAACAGTACCACCACATCTCCGCAGTAAACATTGACCCAAGTCGAGATTTTTGGATATGTTTTTCAACCGAATTTATTTGTAATTTTGTATTCTCATTGGCGGTCAAATCTCACTACCCCCGAATTTAGCCCCATATAACGGTAGCCCAACTATTAGATATTTTGAGAATTTCAATCATCTTTTTCTCATGCAATTTTCGGGATGTTCAAGGTCCTATCATAACATGAGTTTTCTCAATGGGCCGAATGGCAAATCACAAACACTTCAATAGGAAAATGTGCCGTGGACCTTAAAAACGGCTTGGTCAAAACCTACATTGAAAACATATTGCTAATAAGTTTTTTATCCGAACTACTGGCTCTTCTGTAGGAAAATTCTAGAACTATAAAAATACTTTGTATGAGACGTTAAAGAAAAATTGGAATGCCACTTCAATTGAAAAATACGATCAGTCAATTTCGTGAAGAAGATGTTGTACTCATCAAGAACCCAAAATAAAAAATTAAGACTACTCCGAAAGTGTGCAAAATGGGGCTTTATCAAAACAAGTGGCACCCAAACTAAGGTTTTTGGACGTTTTAAAAGCATCTCCCTCACGATTTGATGTGCGAGAATAAAAACACAACGTTGTGTGCCAAGTTAGGGCTGTAGGGATATTTTGAGCTGATGTGTGAGAGATCGCATTGTTATGTTGGACAATGATTCCTTTTGTCTTATTCATTCCCCAAGGACTTCAGGTAAACGAATCGTGTTGTACTACTTAAAGAAAATCAGCCAACCTTACACTTCGGATGCTGTTTAAATTCAGATTTTATTGTAAAATCTTTTTCCTTAAGAACTACATAAACTAATCTTACTTAGCCTAATCTCAGACACAAATGTTTATCGATAAACTCTTTTTTGTAAGAATAAAATTTGATATATGGAGACTTCTCCCACCATGTTCTTCTGTTTCGCCGAAGAAACAGGTGATCATTTGCTTCGAAGGGCATCTTCTACGAGCAGTTTCGTTGAATTTAGCCCATCCTCGAAGACCCACACGGTTCATTAGCTGTTTTATTTCGATTGGCGATCTTATGACCTTTGAAGAACCGCGATTGCATTTTTACAAAATTTCTTTGCACTAATCGACACTGTTTTTTATCGATTGAGAAATTGTGTTTTTTCACATTTGCTCTGGATGTCTTTCAGCTCTATATTATTCAAAAATAAAATATGCTATTACAGACAACAGAGTATATGTTACCAGTGGTGATCAGTGGACTGCATTTATATTCAACATAAAAAGTCCCAACTTCGCCAATGACTTCTTCATCTCATCTTATGTGTTTCTTAAAAAGATTCATCCTTGTTAATTGTTTCATCTAACTGTTAGTTATACATCGATTAACTATTTTATAACCCATCATTTTCAGAAGGAACGTTTGTTGTGTTTTTCATCTAATCCGGTTCTGACTCCTCTCGTTCCTGGTTCAAAAATATTGCAATCTTGATCGCCTGTGACCAACTAGTTTCTGGTGAAAAGTTTAGGTTTAGGTCGCCAATTGAATGAATGCAGCGTGTCGTGAGGTCCTAGACCACATGCCCATTACGAATTGAGACGGCTGCACCATCTTTGTCTTAGTTGGGCTAAAACCACTCTCGTTTTCCCAGACACCTGTCGTTCTGCTGATGCTTTGGGTGGTGACTAGAATCCAAGAACTGAATTCACATGATATTGTTACATAACCTGCACCACTACTTTCGTGTGAATTGTATTCATTCCTGCCCGATAGTCCTGTTGATTTAGAGGTTTTATTTTATTTTATTTTTCTTATACCCTATATCGATCGAAAAGATCGATCTTCAAGATCCTGGTTAGGAGAATTCTATCCATGAGATTTTTACATGTATGACTATCTATAGCAACCACTCAGATATTGATTTGATCATGTAGGGTAAGACCTT